AGTGTTTTGTTTAAGTGTTTTTGTTTTATCCCCCCTCATCAGTCCCTCATTTGGCTGTGGCTGATTGTTGTGTGTTTTTTTTTTTTTTTTTTTTAATTAATTTAAATTTTTTTTTTTATTATTATTATTATTATTATTATTATTATTTATTATTATTATTTTTTTTTTAATATTTGTATTCCTCCCCACCCCCCCTGCGCACCATGTCCCACTGTGGCCAGTTTGTAATTGGGAATTGAAATAGTTGATTTAAAAGTTTATTTTTAATTTTTTTATTTTTTTGCTGTTGTATTTGACAATTTTGCCTGTGGCCAATTTTAGTAATGTATTTGTTTATCGCCCTGCTCAGCATAAGTACCCCATGTATGTGACATTTTGTTCCATGTTTTTAAGAATTGTGTTTTGTATAATGTGTGTTATTTAGTATTTTTTTTTTTATTGTATTTATTTTTATTTTTTTATTTTGTAATGGATTTAATTGTGCTCACCCTGTCATTTCCCCCAATCCCATGTGGCCAATAAATTAGTTGTATTTGTTTTAGTTGGTATTGTATTTTTGTCACCTGTCCTAACTGAACATAAGTCCCCCATCCATGTGGGCAATTTATGTGTTCAAGAGGTTTTATTTTAGTGTACTCTGCAATGTTTTATCTACCCACAAATGTAACTTAAAAACAAAATTTTCCCCCTTCTAAGGTATTTAATAGTTGGCCACCCTGTCATTGCCTCAATCTTCTACGGACAATTGTATTTTTTTAATTGTAATGTTTTTGTAAATTTTTTTTTTTTTTTTTTACCCCATCCACCCCAGTCACCATCAGTCCCCCCCCATATGGGCAATTGATGCATTTTAATAAATTTGTTCCGTACTCCCTCAGTCCCCAGTGGTCCGTTTGATTTGTTTGTAATGTGATAGCTGTTTATTTAGAAATTGTTTTGTGAGATGTAATTGTGTCCCACACTGTCATTTCCCTAATCTCCTGTGGCCAATTGTATTTTTTGTGTTTTTTTTTTTTTTTTTTGTAGTATTAATGTCTTCCATCCCAGTCACCATCAGTTCCCCCCCATCCATGTGGCCTATTTAGTTGAAGAAATGTGTAAATTATTTTTTAGTGAATTTGTTTTTTCCATCAGTCCAACCCCTGCCCCCTTCCCTTGTGGCCAAGATTTTTTTGTTTTTTTTCTGATTTGTCACCTCCCCATTGGTCTCTGTCTGCAGTATCCTGTTGTGAATGAAGGAAATGTATTGTTGATTGACCCTTTTTGTGCATGTAAATGGGCTTAATAAAGAAATTGAGAAGGCCCTACCATGTGCTTAATGTGTAATCTTGACTTGAATGTAGTTGATTTGTTTAATGACTGTTTGGACACCTGTACTTAAGTTTAATAGAATAAATGTTTAATTGTATGTTATTGCTTTTGTGCTTGTCTCTAACAGCAGAAGCCTTGAATTGTAACTTAATTTTTTTTTTTTGTTAAATTGTACAGTTAAATAGCCTGTGAATGTGTAGTTTTGTTTATGTAAATCCTGTTCAATGACTTTTACAGGGCTGAATCCTTATGACTTGATGTTAGTGTTGTGGAAAGCATGTGATGGAATGTTTTTCTGGTAAGACATTGCTTGCTGATGATGTTTGTTCTTTTCTGTGCAGGACTGAAAGGTGTGGTGATGGATTCTTCGGGCCAGATAATTCCTCATGCTGTAGTGGAAGTGCTGGGAAGAAACAACCTTTGTGCCTTTCAAAGTGATGTCAATGGAGAGTATTTCAGATTGTTGTTGCCTGGAAAGTACATGTTGAAAGTAAGACTTGTATTCATGTTTCAAGAAATACAAAGTTTGAAAGTTGTTTTTGTGTCTTTATTGAATGGGTATTTTAAAAAGTAAGTAAGTAAGTAAGTAAGTAAGTAAGTAAGTAAGTAAGTAAGTAAGTAAGTAAGTAAGTAAGTAAGTAAGTAAGTAAGTAAGTAAGTAAGTAAGTAAGTAAGTAAGTAAGTAAGTAAGTAAGTAAGTAAGTAAGTAAGTAAGTAAGTAAGTAAGTAAGTAAGTAAGTAAGTAAGTAAGTAAGTAAGTAAGTAAGTAAGTAAGTAAGTAAGTAAGTAAGTAAGTAAGTAAGTAAGTAAGTAAGTAAGTAAGTAAGTAAGTAAGTAAGTAAGTAAGTAAGTAAGTAAGTAAGTAAGTAAGTAAGTAAGTAAGTAAGTAAGTAAGTAAGTAAGTAAGTAAGTAAGTAAGTAAGTAAGTAAGTAAGTAAGTAAGTAAGTAAGTAAGTAAGTAAGTAAGTAAGTAAGTAAGTAAGTAAGTAAGTAAGTAAGTATCGGGGGCACATACACGAAGATCTAACAAAGGCTGTATTTTGCAGGTGATGGCTCCAGGATTCAAGACTGTCATTCAGAATGTAGAAGTGCCCTATGGTCCAGACCGCTTCTCTGCCCTCACACACAACTTTATCCTTCAGCACAGCGACAGCAACTCAGATTCCAGCACACCAGCTCAGTCCTCCTGCAGCAGTTGTGAATTGCCTGTAAAAGACCCACACAACAGTGCCACCCAGCTGAATAACACGCTCACTGCACTGCTCCTACAAACACTACTGCTGATCATGATGATGAACTGACACAATCAGATCTGCTCATGTTTGCACAATTCTGTTTTTTTTGGGATATTTCACACAATAAACACCAGGCCATACTTACCATTGTTATAATGATGAAGAGGAGGAAGCACACAAATGGCCAACACTGCAAGCAAACAAAGACAAAAGAACATTTCAGATTGACATTTGCCTTCATTCAGCACAACACTAACAAACAACATTTGATTTAGACTCCATGACTTTTCCTATCAGGCTAATGACCTTTGTGGATATTAACATTGTTCATTTGCAGCTGTTTAACATGAAGAGTGCAAAACACCAAACCAAGCTTTTCTACCTCACTTACTTTATAATATTCATCAGCAAAACTAGCAGTGCCTTTAATAAACAGCATTTTCCTATCATTTGCTCACTGCCCTGTGCATTATACTGTCTATTGCCCATTTAACAACAAGGTGTCTAGAAGAAGAAATAGCCATATAAATCTCTCGCACTCACACACACACACACAAACACAAACACACAAGTTCTTTCATTCTAATAGTAATGGGGTGTATGCACAGAATTTCAACACATGTAAGCTTACATTTACATTACATTTAGTTGTTCAAGCACAAAACAACATGAAAACAACACCGCCTGCCATCAATACCAGCAGCAACTCTATTGACAAGCTGCACTGCATTCAATTCCATTTCCCCCCCAACCGTCACTATTTCTTTTAGCCTACTATGCTAAGATAAATGGTCTTGTTTTAAAGACATGCCAGAGAAAAATGATATCTAATACAAAGCTTCTTGTCAAATTTGACACACAAATCACATTTGAAACGTCCCAGTTTTCTCAAGGAAACAAAAGGAAAAGTCTCTGTGCATATACCCCATTGCCCCACTTTTACATACTACTTCCAACAGTGTCAACTTCATCAATAACTAAATGTTGCCTTCATTTCTACTAATATCTTACCTCACACTTTATCTTATCTACCCTATGTTTACTAATATATATATATATATATATATATATATATATATATATATATATATATATATATAATTAAACATTATTATTCTTTTACTGATTCCTCTATGGGAAATGCTGTGTGACTGCTAGACTCCATGACTTGGACATTATGGCTGATACTCTTGTACTACTCTTCTGCATTTGTGGCCATTAAAACAGCAATTCCTGATATTTTGCTGGATCCTTTCAAATAATTCTTTACACACTATCAAATCACATCTAATAGAGTCACACTATTTGCTTCATCCTAAAAAAAGACATGCACAAAGAAAGACTGCGCAAACACATTTGCCATCATTAAGACACAAACTCAAACTCACTCAGAACATACTCTGCCTTGTCTGCTTATAAACCACTCTTCCGTATGTTTCAAAACTACTTCTTATATTTCACTAAACTTCCGCTACACAAACACTTCTGCTACAACCACACACATCCTAAAATCATACACACTTTTAGTCTTCTCTTACACAATGACTACACATCACATTTTTGCCACTTATATTCAAATATCATTCGCCTCTACAAGAAATCTGTGGCCACAGAACTGCACAAAATTAAATCGACTGCTTCAACATCTCCCTTTCAGCTCAGCAGGAGCTTCTCTACAGAACAACTGACTTCTCTGTTGAAACACACAGAGACTGATGACCGAGCCACATCTATCGATAACAGCAGTTTTCATCCACCCATTCACTATTTCGTACACTCTACACTTGGCCTTTTGACAAATACAACACAAATACTTTTCCGTTAAACCATCCACACGCTTTTCTAGCAATGCTCAAACTATTTTACTACAATTACTTTCCAAATGACACTGAATACATTGCAAAATGTCCTGTATCCAAATTACACTCAAACATTTCACTACAACACTTATCAACAGCGACGACCTTCACCATCACACACATACATTATTGCCTCAACTGTTAAATACTTTGCAAAAACACTATTTCAACAAATGCCCTACAAATCGATCACCTCTATCTTTTCCCACATCGCATCCTCTCGTTCTTTCCAGCAGGATATTCATATCACTGATCAGCGCTGTTCCACAACAATCCATCTTTACATTCAACTACAATTGACTCAACCATCCTCACTTTTTCCTTAACTCTTTCCATTCTTCACACTATTTTTCATTTTGTTATTCTCTGCCTTTACTCCATTCGTTATTTGAATGACTAATTCACATCCTTTCTCTATATGAACACTATATTCTCTATTAAAAGTCAAAACTTTCTTTCCCCAGTTCAACTTTTCAGGCCATGTTGCTTTCCTTCTTCATGTGGAAAAATCTAAAAAACAAACAAAATATTTGATAATTTACCTCTGCATATGTCAGCCCTACCGTTGTGTATGTAGCAAACTCTTTTGCCTCTAAATTGTTTAAGGACTGGATTTTGCCATTTTTCCAAATGCTTTGCTCTTCTCTCTGGAGTCAATGTCACAATGTCATGTAAGATATGTCAAATGTTGCCATTTTGTAAATGCAAATGTTCCACAATATGTCATTTACAATATATTGAATGGGAAGTGCATCTCAGGGAATTATATTAGACTATGCTGGAAAAATGTATAACTGTGCCAAGTAGACAAACTTCTAATTTATAAGACATGAAAGCAAAGGCTGCTTTTTTTCATGACAATAGTTCTAGTAGCGAGAGGTCATTACAATTCCACATGTAATCAGTTGAACTACTTAAAAGGTGATAAAACAAAAAATAGCTCAGCGCTTTTATTGACCATAAATGGGGAAACTGACTAATAAACCGGCGGATGCAGCTCAACTGCTTCCTTATTTTCAACACTCGGTAGCCTTAATCACACAGTGTTTCTATCACAACTATTTACAAGCTCATCAAATACATACAGCGGAAACTTTTACTCTAACATCTGTTTCTGCATATCAAAACAACAATTCCATCTCTTAAATCATCCAAAGCAAAGGTATGACAGCCCAGCGACTCGTTACTTCATCCTATCGTTCAAATGACCAATTTGTCTGCTACTCTAAAGATGTTCCCAGGGCTTCAAAATCGTCTACTCTTCTGCCTGTATTCAAAAGTGCGCATCCTCAATCTGCTAGGAAGTATCCACTTATTTGGTATATTTCCAAGATTCCAGAGAAACTAATAGCTACGCAAATCACTCGTTCTTTCCACAATACTTCTCTTCCTTAACAACGATTGCAGTTTGGGTTCACAACAAACTATTCCACTGAGATGGCCAGTTGCTACTTCATATGAAAAGTCAAGTCTTCATGGTGGGGTCGTCGGTGCTCCACTTCAGGAAGGCCTTTGACACGATCGATCGCACAATTCTCTTGTCTACATTATTAAGTTTCAAACTTTTCCCACAAACGTTAACATGGATGGAATCGTCACTGTCTGCTCGTTTAAACTACTGTATCTTGATATACAGAATTACAAATTTAACCTATCCACTGGCGTTCCGCAAGGATCTATTCTGTGTCCTTTACTTTTTCACTTGTACACCTTCCATCCATCTGACCTAAAAAAAAACATTCAAATATAGGCAAATGACGCTGTTATTTCATTCCCAGTAGCGCTGTCACAAGTTGCAAACAAACTACGTTTTAACTTTAGCTATACGTTACAGCTATCCTACAGTCGACGATGCTGTTTACATTCCCACTCTCCAAAACACATTTACTGTGTATGTTCTTTTACAAACATAATACTTTAACCGTACTGCCGCATGGATTTGTATCAGGGAAGGATTAAAAGTCGGTTAGTTGGTCACGTTCTTCTGATGGATTCAAAACTTTCATTTAGGCCACAGGTCTGTAACAGCGTCAAATTCAGTCTAGCCAATTGTACATTTCTATGTATTTATATGTAGTCTGAAGCCTACATATGAGGCTTTACATAGGCCTAAAAATAAAGAGTTCCAAAACATTACCGCTAAAAAACTTAGCACTGTGCTATTTTTCTATTGCGATCTTACACTAAACAACTTCAATAGCTCGATTTTCTCAATGTAAATGCTAATACATTAATATTCAATCGGAAGCGCATCTGCGTCAATACACCGATCTCCAGCATACTGCACTCATCACCCTTTACATTTTCACCTATTTTGTGATTGACTCATTTTTTTTTTCCTTTATTTACGGTTGTCAATTGCATCATGGGAGGTTGATCTCTGCTCTGTGGGCTTTTATTCTTGCAAATTCATGCAACGCATAACAAGTCAGTAAAATAACAGGAAATGTACTGGCAGTTTATAGCAAGGTGTTACACCACTAAGCCAGACAATTTATCGCTTTAAACTATTCAAAATGTTTCAAAAACTTTTCAATATTTACTTTTTAAGGTCCCGTAACGCCACTCAAAAGCATAAACAGATGGGGGAAATAAAATCAATTATAACATCAATCTCAAAACACACAAAACTCCTCATTTACAGTCCATATTGCGCATTCACACGTTGCCATATTAATCCTAAAACAATATATATTGCGCAGCTCTAAGCTTATAGCACTTATCCGCTTGATCGCAACCTACAATTACTACTCAGAATCCGCTCCGATCCTAGTCAGAACAAACATTAAAATGCTTCGTGACAAATCACTTCAATTTCTTCATTCTATCTTAAAGATACACGATCTGCTAAGATTGCCCATTTACATTAAATATGTTCATAATTGTCAACTGATTAAGACTGCACATAAGGCAACTTCAATCAGTCTGTGAATGTTACAACAACTTCTCAACCGACTACGAGTGGTGGAAGAGGGACTGTATTATTCCCGTCAACACATATCAATTCGGTTTGTCTGTGTTTTCATTGAAAGGTGCTAGGAAAACCCCACCAACAATTACAACATTACCGTAAATACTTTTCCTTCTTTTCACTTTCATGACCAAATTCTCGTCATCAACATTGACGATAGTGTAAAGAAAGATCTGTATATCAACAATACTGTATTCTGACAGGACACCTACTTGCACACTTTGTTCTTGGCTACGTCGTCCTGTTCTCTGTCCTCTCCATGTTACGTTTCTGCATTTAAATATATGATACTTCTCTTTTCTATGTTTTTATACTTTGTTAGTATTTTAGATGAGACATTTTAATATTCTGTCAAAGGTCTACTGATGAAAAGTACCCATTCTTGCCAAATTTGGACACATTTTACAGTCATGTTCATTAATGTATGTGCCCCTGTAAATAAATCAAATAAACTAAACTAAACACTTTGAGTGGGTTAAAAGCGTTCGGCCACAGGAAACAATCGTGTCGCTTTAACACCAGTGATTGAATGTTATTTTTACATAGTCAACAATGTTATGTTATTCTTTCACATAACAAAAAATCCTGTCATTTCCTATGACCGACTGAAATGATGCTAGAAAAAAAGCACACTTCCTGCATACTACAAACCTGCCTCAGATTAACAACCCATTGATGATTCTTATTGTTCTTCTTATTATAGTTATACTTGTTAATATTATTATCATTAATATAAGTATCAGTACTGTTATTGATATGATTTCATTTACTGCCACAATATTGATTAAAACATCAATAAAATAAAACGTTTGAATCATTCACCTATTCTTATCGTAGTCATGACTATGTGTGAGCCACTTCTTTGCCATCAGGACGATCCAAACTGATCCGAAGCCGTCCTTGTAGTGCATCGGCAAATGAGCCGCGCTGCTCTTCCGGTAATACAAAATACAGCATCGCAGCACCTTCTCCAGCACAGACCCGCCGATGACCTGCAAACGCACGACACAACGCATGTCAGCATTCATCAGTTACGCTTGCATTTCGAACACATTGTCAGATACGACATCATACATGTAAAACTACACCAGTAATTTAAACCATGTACACTTGTTGTCTAAAATGCACCACAGGCCAAAATATAAGCAGGTACTCTATAAACAACGCTGTATATACTGTGTATAAATAAGATGACAATAGCATGGAATATCCAAATGCTATTTTTTTTACAATAATGAAACAAGAAGCCCTACAACTCCAAATATAAGCAGTAAAGTTGTTTGTGGATTTATCCGTTTACACAAAACCCCCTCAAAGTGAGAAACTGACTGATAAGCCGTGCAGCTGATGCGGCTCGAATGCTTAACAATAGGACTTGGTAGCCTCAATCACACAGTCATTCTCTTCTAATTATTCAAAAGTAAATCAAGTAAATAAAGCAGCGCAAGCTCTTACTTTAAGCTCAGTTTCCCAATCGGGGCTCAAAACGACTGTTTTACATATTTTACATATTTTAAATCATGCAAACCAAAGGATACATTTGGTACGACAGCCTACTTAATCCTGTCGCTACATTTATAACTTTGTCTGTTTCTCAGGAAACGTTCCCTTACAAATTGTTGGAAAAAAGGAATTTATTTTTATTACTTTGGTGTTTTTATTCATTACAAAACAGTTTCGGCTAACAACAGATTCATCAATCTTTTCTATTGTATTATAACACATCTTGACCAGACACACTTCATCTTTTTTATTGTGCTGCATACTTTTTTAAGGAACATGCTGACAAGTTTAATACAAAGTCTAGACATGTCACATGTTGTCATGATGCTTGTACAAGTTTTGATATAGTGAAATATACTCAATATAGTGAAATATATTAAAGATGCACATAATTGTTCAGTTCTGCTGTGCAAAGAGGGGTTGCAGAAAGAAGAAGTACGTCTTGGGTACAAGAGCCAAAGGACTGCATGTTGACTGATAAGTGACGTTAAACCAGACCTCCGCCTGTTTGTGTAAATATGCTGGAGTCAGGAAACGGAAGTTAGTTGTGAACCTCTTGAATGTAATTCTTGTATTGCATTGGGGTAAAGTAACCCAGAGCTCTGTCATCGAATTATTCATTTGTTTCTATGACTATTTTTGCCTTTGAAGAAAACACTCTCCAGACCTTATCTTATTGGACATGCATGGAATTTCCTTGATATTCCAACAAAATCATCTGCTATTTTGACTATAATCAAAAGTTACCGTCCTCGACCTAATTAAAAGTAAATATTACGATAATCTACTTTTAGCGATAGCTAAAAATCACAAATTATTTTGCTTTACATCCTTTGTAGTTTGGCTTCAAGGCAAAATATTGAACTGAGATGGCACATTTCTAATTAACAAGTCAAGCATTCGTTATATAATGATGGGGTCGTCTGGACTGTGTTTCTCTATCACACTCTACATCACATAAAAAACAAGTCCAAATTAGTAGCTTTTAACTTCTCCCCGAAAAACTTTAACATGGATACAATCATCTCTGTCTTCAAAGTATCTGCAAAGTATGTTTCTTTACAGAATTACAAATCTGCACCCTTAGCCTGTTGATCCGTTTTGGCTCCTTTACTTTTTCAGCTATACACCATGTCAATGATCTTTCTATCAGTCCTAACAATAATAATCAAATGTGTGCGGATGACACTGTTATTTTATTCCCAGTAGCAGTACGTTCCGTTACTATTCGGTGATGTACAAAAACATCCATGAGTAATTTACCTACAGATCAACTAACATTTAATCTAACATCTACAATTGCAATCATGCCTGTGCTTTTCTTCGTTTACTGTCCCGATACTGTTTGGAAAAAAAAATCACACGTTTGTATTATTCACTTGTTCTTACTGTTGTTATGAGTGTGTGAGCCACTTCTGCCATCTCTGGACATCAAGACCATCCAAACTGATCTGAAGCCATCTATACACAACAAAATTAGCCGCGCTGCTCTTCCGGTATTACAAAATACAGCATTCCAGCATTATCTTCAGCGCAGAACCGCTGATGACCTGTAACAGACACACAACACACAGCATTCATCAGTAACTGTTGTGCTTCATACATATTGACATATACAAAATCACACATATAAAATCACAAAGTAAATGAACCCATGCATGTTTTTTTTTTAATGCACCACTGGCCACAATCAATGCATGTACTGGATAAACCACTCAGTTCCTTCTCACATTAATAACTGAATCTTTTTTTTTTTTAATCACATTATTTAGGTAAGCTGGAAATAAGTGTTGCCTTAACACAACAAAAACAATGACACTTTTTTTGTGCATCGCTTCACTGCACAATTACACACAAATTTTTTAGTCAACAACTCTTCTAACAAGCGAACTTTCCAACAGGTGCCTACTTTTCAACTCAAACCGTTCAATCAAACTGTTCTATAAACAAATGCACATGCTTACATCTTTCAAAACAACCAAAAATACAAATGATATGTTATTCCGTTATGAATTTGCAAGCTCTCCTTTCGGTTCTATTACATTCCAGATACAAATCTTCATTCTTCAATGCGGCAATAGTTTAAAAATAGTCAATTCATTACACAATATATCCAATTTTACTATTAGTTCAGATCAGGACGTTAAGTTCACAACTATAGTACTTGTACATTAAAACACACAAAAAATCATTATCAATATCCAAATGCGTATATGAATAAGATGACAATGGCACCCCCCCCCCCCCACTTCCTTAAAACATTCATTGCGATAATAATTATAAGTATTATTATTATTATTATTAAACAAGTTTCAAGATTTAACATTAAATATTAACAGCACTGATATTGCTGATTTAGCTCAAAATAATAATTTTGTGGTCGTTGTAGCCTCAAGCACACAATCTTTAACACAAACAGTCATTACTTAATCCTTTCTTACACTCTAAACATTTCTGTGTCTCTTAGGAGATGTTCCCTAAGGCTTGGAAATCACGTGTTATTGAGTCTATATTCAAAAGTGACCATCCTCACTCAACTAATAATTACACTTATCAGTATATTACTTTTTATCTATTTTCTTTTTCAAAAATGTATATTTTTAGTGAAGCACAGCATTTTAGTTCTATCAGGGGAAAGGTTACAAGTTTTACCTTAAGCCCCAGGTTAAAAATGTACGCAGCTGGGTCAGATTCAGTCAACCAAAGTTTTTTCATTTATACGTGATTATATGTAGTCTCAAGCCACCATGATGTATTTTCGCTCTGTGATTATTTCTTTTATAACTTATCATTTAACCACTTGGTCGCAAGCTACTATTGCAAGTCTTAATCCACTTTAATCTTTGTCAAAACAAACATTAAAATGCTTCATTACAAATCACTTCAATTTCATCGTTCAATGTTAAAGACATACAATCTACCAAACTGGGATATTTTGATTAAATATGTACATATTTGTCTACTGATCACAACTACACATAACCCAACTTCAATCATGTTGCTCAATGTCAGAACAACTTCACACCCAACTACAATGAATGGTGAAAGAGGGATTGTATTTTTCCTATCAACAGATGTAAATTCACTATATATATACATATGATAGTTATATTTTGTGCTCATATGCATTCTTTCTATTTTAGGTGTAATTTTATTTACCAATGATAAATAGCCACTCTTCCCTAATTTTGACAACTTTTTACAATGATGTTCATTAATGTACATTGCCACTGTAAATAAATAAAATAAACAAAACTTACAAATGGGTTAAAAGCATTTGTCCACGAGACACAATCACGTTGGAAGCTTGAACAGCACTGATTGATGTTATTTTTACATGGTCTAGAAGACTATGCAGTGTTCTTTCACATCAAAAAAACACAAGACTTTTTACCATTTAATACAGTGTATGACAGAACTGAAAACTGAGATGATATATACTACTTACCTGAAAAAAGTATGTTTCCTGTATACAATACAACTGCCTCAATTTAACCCATTTATGATAATAATAATGACTATATTATTGCTGTTGTTGTTGTTCTTATTGTTCTTATAGTCATGACAGCAACCTGACTATAACAACTATTAGTAGTAGTAGTAGTAGTAGTAGTAGTACTATTATTAATTTGATTTCATATAATATCATGACATAAAATTGCATGTTCAACTGTACTTTTTTCTTTAATTTCATTATTGGATACAATTTCTTGATTTTTTTTATTTCATACAATAAACATTGTAATATATACGCTACTAACAAAACATATCATTTCAACCTTTTAACTAATGTACTGACAAACATTTGTAATGCATGTAATTAATATATGCACCACTCTTTCTAATACACATACATAGTGTTTGCTTATATCAGTAAAAAAAAATAACTAAATAGAAAACACAGTAAGCTTTGCATTTGTCACCACGTTTAGCCCAATATTTTGACTTTTCATATTGTGCCTTGACCTACATATTTGGAGATAGACGTACATGACGTACAAAAACAGCCACGAGTCAATTACCCCTTGACAGATCAACTGTGAAGTTAATCTAACATTTCTTAATGCAATCATGTTCGTGCTTTTCTTCATTTGCTGTCCCAATATTGATTGAAAAGAAAAACACATTTGTATCATTCACTCGTTCTTACTGTTGTTATGAATGTGTGAGCCACTTCTGCCATCTCTGGACATTAGGACGATCCAAACTGATCCGAAGCCATCCTTACACAACCGTGAGAGAGTAGTGCATCTGCTCGCCTTACAGTAACACAAGATAAAGCATTGCAGAACCTTCTCCAGCGCAGACACACTGTTGACCTGCAAACAAAGAACGCAATGCATGTCAGCATTCATCAATTAAGGTTGCGTTTTATACATATTGACATATACAAAATCACACATGAAATAAAATACCCATGCACGTTTGCTTTCTAACATGCACTAATGGCCACAATATATGCAGGTAATGTAAATACAACTCAGTTCCTTCCCACAATCATTACTGAATCTCTTATCAAAATATTAAGGAAAGCTACAAAAACAATAAAAAGCAACAAAAACAATACTTTTTTTGTGCATAGCTTCATTTTACACTTACAATGTGTACAGTGAACAACTCTTTTAACAAGCAAGCTTTCCAACAGATGCCTACTTTTTAACACAAACTCTTCAATTAAATTTGTTCTATAAACAAATGTGCATGTTGAAAGCTCTCAAAACATCCATAAATACAATTGATATGTTAATCCATTAGGATTTTGCAAGCTCTCCTTTTACATTCAGGTAGGGCTGCACAATATATCGTTTCAGCATCGATAACACATCCGCAATGGATATGAAGAGTGCAGTCTAAATTATAGTTGACCAAGAGCTGCAAAATTGTATTTTAATGCATGTAATTAATATATGCACCACTCTTTCACATAGTAACACATACATAGTGTTTGCTTATATTGGTATTTATATGACTTATGCAAAAAATAAAAAATAAAAAATCACCTTACCCACAAACAGATAATTTCCCTTATTAAAAAAAACAAATCTTCATTTTCTTATTTCTTCTGCCGGTGAAAACTAAACATTATGTTTACTTGCTCTCCACAAAAACAACAAATAGTGCTATTCAAACCATCTCCTGAAACTATTCATATCGCAATATTTATTGCAGAAAACCCCCTTTTACAAATATTAACAAGTAAAAAGCTAATTTTATATAAGCACATTATAATGTATGTATGACTTTTTCCTTAATAATTTAAGTTTATATGAAATCACATTAGCAACCAATGACTATCTATGTAAGACATAGTTCACAGTCAAATACATAGAGCTGCTGATGTTGTTTAAAGTCATGCTTGCATGTGATTTCACCCCAAATATTTTAAGCACCATAATAAACAATATAGGGAGGATGTCGCTGAACTAATTATGAGTAAATACAAAACCAACTTTACCTCAATGTTAATTGAACTTTCACACAAACTACAATACAACTCAAAAGCGTAACAACAATTACACCAAAAATCACAACATTCCGTTATACAGCTACTTTCTTAGAAATTCTGAACCACTCTCTATCTAGTGTCCCCGACTTCACACAAACTTGTGTCATTTAAAAGTAAATGCTGCAATGTTTTTGAACCATACCAGAGCAACTTACTTTAATTAATCTGTTGTGGTATTTCTATAATTGCTAAGGTAACAACAACTACAGTAAATAGACAACTATAAACAAATAACCCAATACTTTTATACAACTATAGGGTATATATATCACAGTTTAATGAAGTCATACTTGGATGTCATTTCACAACAAATACTCAAAGTACCATGGTAAACAATATAGGGAGCATATCACTGAACTAATGTGTGAGTATAAAACCAACTTTACCTCAATTAAAAATTAATTGAACTTGCTTGCACGCAAACTACAAAACAACTCAAAAGCGTTACAACAATTACACCTAATATCACAACATTCTGTAGGAAACATTATCATTATCATTATTTTTCTACTATTTTCCTGATTTACACACATATTACTCTAGTACAGTAACTTCAAGCAAAAAATGTTTTAAAATAACAAAACCCTTCAATTAATCTCTTGTGGTGATTCTATCACTGTTGTAGTGACATAACAACTACAGTAAATAAACAACTATAAACAAATAACCCAATACTGTACACCACAGTATATATTTATATATATATATATATATATATATATATATATATATATATATATATATATATATATATATATATATATATATATATATATATACACACACAACAGTTATGTCTGGTTCTCGAATCTGAATGGCTGATAGCAGTAATATATTTCAGTACAACCTCTTTACCCTTTGTGTATTACTCCGCCCACATACAGCCAGCAAAAAGCAGACACTACAGATCTAAAGTTTAAAAGATTGTTGCTCAGCTGTTTAACTGTCAGCTTATGATTTGAATTCTACGCGGAAGAAAGTAGTTCCTCATACAAAATGGTTTTTAAGACTCTCCATGTTTGATTTTGTTTTTATATACACAATTATGCCCTCAAACTGTTGCATAAACGCAATATCACACTCGTAGCAGTGCGATATGGCTGTATATCGGTACTGGTGGGGGCCAACGCACGCCACCCACCAGTGCCGATAATACATCCATATCGCACTGCTACAAGTGTGATATTGCTCCTATATATACAGTATATATATATATATATATATATATATATATATATATATATATATATATATATATATATATATATATATATATATATATATTACAGTATTTATTACAGTATCACTTATATACAGTAACCAATGACCATCAAAGTACAACATACTGTACTTCACAGACAAATAAATGTAATTAATTTCACACCAAATACTAAACAAGTACCATAGTAAACAATAAAGGGAGTGTGGCACTGAAAGAATGTGTGAATATAAAACAAAAATATAAATTGAACCTTCTTGCACACAAACTACAAAACAACTTAAAAGCGTAATAAAAAGTAGCCCAAAAATCACAACATTCTGCAGGATACATACATTATACAGATACTTTCTTAGAAGTTCTGAACAACTGTCTATCTAGTGTCCCTGACTTCACACATTCTACTCAAGTATTTTAAAGTACATACTGCATTGTTTTTTAACCATACTATAGAACAAAACATCTGGTTTGGTAATTCTTTCATTGTTATTGAGATGACCTTGATTTTATATTTACACATTCTGACATTCTGCTTAATATAATTTCAGAAATGTACGACTTACAAATTCTAAATAATTATTAATATAAAATTCCATTAGCAACTAATGACTAATTAAGGACAACAGTCAATTAAATAGTGCTACTATTGTTTTGAAGTCATACTTAAAAGAGATTTCAGACCCACTATTCAAATTAGCATGGTAAAAAATATGAGGACTGTTAAAATTAAGGAATGTGCAAATGTAAAAACTATTTACCTCAATATTATTGTTGTGGTAACACAACAACTCCACTAAAAGAACAACTAAAAACAAATACCCCAATACTGTACTTTTATACAACTATATGGTATACCAATTATACACCAATTATACACCACAGTTTATTCAATATTTATTTATATTACAGTATTTATTACACTTTATCACTTCAATACAAATACAGTATGACATGGAAATATCTGATTTATTGACAGTAGAACACACTTTTCTGTAGTATGGTTCAAAACAAAAGCTATTCTACTGCAAATTATTAAAGACCTACTGCCTTTTTCAAGAGGGTTTGAGCTGACCTTACAACGAAAAACCCAAAACAATGGCTGCAAACCGTTCTACCCTTTATGTCGGTAAATAGTTTAAACGTTTTTTTTTTTTAACATCGCCTTAAGGTCGCAAATTAATACACACGAATGCTGCAATTTCGCGGTCGTGCCAAGATTGTTATGTGCCAAGTTTGTTATGCGCCAAGTTTGTTATGCGCCAAGTTTGTTACAGTACGGTTACTCAAATTTAAAACAAACACATTTCAGTATATCATTTCTAATGACATAAAACAACTTACCACGACATATCCGATGAACGCAGAAATAAAAGACGTGCAGTATAAGGAGAAAGTAAACACTTTCCATCACCAAACAAACACATACGGTGCGCGCGCACGCGTCACTTCGGCGGAAATTACAGAGAAGCCTCATTGCCATCTATAAAAAGGCTTTTTTTTTTTTTTTTTTTTTTTTTTTTTTTTTTTTTTTTTAACGAAGTTGCACATATGAACCCTTATAGCCAACCAGCATATCATAAAAAAACATAGTAAGAAAAACAGTCAAACAAATGACGCAAATTAAATAATACTCCTATAAAGTATACAAACAATAACATTTGTAATAATATTGCCAGTATACTCTTGCTAAGAACTAATATTTTATATAATATTATTTCATATTATATCATTTAATATTATATCATTATTACTTAATATTATATAATAATTGTTAGTTACAATTATGGAATAATAACAACATAAAAGTCTTAAAGACAGAAGACAGAAATATCAGATCATAAAGACAGAAATTAAGACATTATTCAAAAACGGAATTATATGCCTTTACAAAACATCTAAAAGGGCCTGATCAAGTTACATCTAAGTAAAATGTCAAAATATTAATGAAATAATGTCGAATTATCCTTCAGCACACTGCTATAGCTCAGAAGAACTGCTATATCTCATTAAAAGGAACAATTATTGAGTTTTTTTTTTTTTTGATTATTTATAGATCATTAAATTCTTCTTCATAAAGAAAGAAAGAAGGAAGACAGAAACATACTATGAAAATCATACTACGTTTTTTCTTTCTTTCTCTTTGAAGATGTTATCTTCTATTAATGCCAGATGTATAAGAAAAAAAATAATTAAAAAAGCATTTCTTCTATCCTGCAAAGAACTAAAACATGATTTAACTTTTATCCAAGAAACTCCTTTCTGCCTGGAAAAATTTGTCAGTTTTGGAAAAATAAGTGGGAAGGGGAAATGTGGTTGGCTCACTGTTATGTAGCAATTTTGACACATACCTTTCCTGTACAATGTTTGTGTAGTTGACTGTAAAGGACAATGGTTGATATTGATGAGCTGAAAGATTGTAAATTATGTTTATGTTCATGTTTATGGTTACTGTTCAAAAACTCTAGAATTATGTCAGTTCTGCTATAAGAAGTAACCTCGAAGTTATAGGAGGTTATTTTAACAGGTAGCGAATGATATTATGGAGCTATCCCTCTAAAGTTAATAGAACACCTGACGCTCCTCATACACAGTAAAACCCAAAAAGTTAAGATAACTCGAACTGTTCAAGTAAGAAAACCGATTGCAACAAACCATTTAAGTTCAAAAACGAATCCTGACTACTGTGAACTTAATCCATTCGAGTAAATGAAGCAGTTTGAGCACAGTGAAACCCAATAAATGAAGAGAACTCAAACCAACTGAGTACTGCAAAACTCGTATAAGTTAAGGCAACTCAAACTGTTTCAGAAAACTGATTGATACAAAACATTTGAGTTATAAAACTGGTCTAGTACTGTGAACTTACTTAAGGATCACAAAACAAGGGTTAGAGATGGGAGAAAAATAGTAAATACTTTTTCAGTCTTAAAAAAGAAGAATAGAGGTTAATACGATTAGGAAAGTATAAACTGATGGTGTTATATGGTAATGTGGACACTTTTAGAGTAAGCTATATAAATGTGACTCTAATGTGATCCTTTTTCTATCTTAAACAGAATACTTTTACTAATCATTTCAATGCTCTGTTCTCTAAATATATATATATCACTATAAGAAATTAAAAAAAAGCTATCAATACATAAAAATAAAAAAAAAATACAAATCACCAAGAAGTGATAGGGTGACGTCAGCATTATATAATTTGTTTTTTTAAATAAAAAATTATCCCTTTTTTACTGGCATTTTATAAAGAATCATTAACCAGTGGATGTTATCCACCATTAGTGGGTGTTATCACCATTTACTGGCAAAACCCCAAAAAGACACTCTCTGGTGGACATTTGGCATACAATTTCATTTTTCAGAAATTATTATACAATTTTTGCATCTATTCTGGCAGAACGGCTTCAATTTTGTTCAGAGGATTTAATTGATGAATGTCAATCGTGCTTTATATATACAGTAATATCACGTAATATAAGGTTTGTTCAGGATTGAATTGACTATTAAAATTTCATTTTAGATCCTGCATTAACAATGTTTTTAGACTTTTAAAAGGCCGGTTAGTCATAATTTTATTTTTAGCTTTTTACATCACTTTAAATTTAACAATGCACTAAAACCTCTCTACATAAGAGGATATAGCTGTATAAAATTTGCATCAGGAACTCCCAATTTTTTTGATCCAAAGAGGAATAAGACAGGGCTGCTTTTCATCCTCCTTTCTTTTTTTATTAGTGACTTAAATAAAACGCCTTAAAGTATTACATTCCACGATAAGGAGATCAAAATCTCACAATACACAGATGATACCAATTTATTTTTTAAAAAAGGAAAAAGCTGAGCTGCCTAAAAGATTATAAATCATTACAAATTTATCTTAAATATCTGGTCTGCATAATATTTCAAAATATCAAATACTATCTTTAAAAATTATAAATAAAAAAGAAATACGGTGAACTCAACGTCAAGCGGTAATTAATTATCTGGCTGTAAAAATATCTTTACACTCAAACTTTTCTACAGAACGTAATATTAACTCGATTAAAAACACGATTAGCTAGATGGTTAGCAAGACACTTGCTGGTCAAGTACTGTTATCAAAAGCAGAGAATTTGCTTATCTCTTATATTTTCTCTGTTATGGATTCTCCTAAGTCATCATGTTGTCTGAATCAATTGTTATACAATTTTACTTGGAAAAGCAAACCACATGAGATCAAAAAGGATATACTAAAAACAACGTTTTTAGTTTAAATGAATCTTCTTGACCTCACTTTATTTAATCATACATAAAAATGCCTAAAAAGATTCAATGAAAAAAAAAATTACTTTTAATAAAATTAGAGGTATTGATTTTGAGTTACAATGCCTTTTTTTCACTTGATAAATTCCCCATCAAATTAACTAAATTTCACAGACAGGTCTTATTATCATGGTTACTAATGTACAAACACATTTTCCCCATCACCACTGCTTCATCTAGAACAACAGAAGTATTGAAACAAATCTTTGTTTTTCCAGAGATGGTTTTTAAGTTATATTTTTAGTAGTCAATTATGAGATGACAATGACCAGCTAGTGAGTAGTACAGTTTTCTAAAAAGTTGAATTTTGATCCCTCAGTAAATGAATACAACACATGCCGTTCCCAATGGTTTAAAAACTTTACTTAAAGGAGTACAAACTGTTCACCTGGATCCTACTTCTAGACCAAACAAATCTATCTCAATAGAAGGGATATTGTTAGTTGATGACAAACTTAAACAAGCAAAAAGCAATTCCAGCTTCTTCTTTTAAATGGATGACCACATATAACAAAAATTGAGATGTTACTTGGAATCTTCCACAAAAATATTTGCTCACTAACAAAGTAAAGGAAATTACATACAGTGCTCAGCAAAATTGAGCACACAACATTTTGAAAATACTCTGTGAATATGAGTAATATATATATATATATATATTGGTTCATTTGAACAAAACAGATATATTTATTAAAATAATATTTTACTTACTAAACATCATTAAAAATGGAAAGATAATACAATTCAACCCATGCAAAATATTGCAAAAAACTAATTACAAACTACAACATTTCAACAGAATTTTTGTTTCTCTTGATTTTGCTATTTTTAATATTTTTCCCTAACATAGATTTGGGTTACTACATTTTGAACTATTATCGTACGTTATTTTGTTAGATAAGCTCCAGATTTGGCTTCAGTACTGACTAGTTTAATGTAAAAGCACAGATATAATATTGTACAGTGTAAGAATTGAAATATTGCAAATATTCTGATATCTTTGACAATTCAAAACATGAGCTGAAAACAGAGACTGGTGACTTCACAACCCACCAGGGAGGAATGCGGGAAAAACCAGTTCCTGCTGCATTTGCATCTGAGTCTGCTTCATCCCCCCAACTCACACATATGGTCATTTCAATGTTTGAATGTTCTAGAATTAACCAAACTGACTTTAACTATCATGTTTGATATCATTTGAAATGTCTCAGTGCGATTGGTACAATGGTCTCATTCTCTCAGAAATAGACATAATCAGAACAATAAATATATAACTTCAGGCATCTTTTGATCCACTGTGAGGGGTGTGACACTAAGTGTGAAGGCCTTTTGTTATACATTCACACCCCCTTCCTTGAGGGAATTCTTGGATTATTTAAGGTAAGGACTAAGAAAGGCTCAGGGCGATTCTGCCTAACCAGATCAGCCCATAACATGGGGTCTGCCCCATGTTATGTATATTTCAAAGTCAGGAATGCATCTTTTTCATCTTGGATTTATCTTTGATAATTTGATGTTTTGTATTGATCATTTATGAATTGACTGATTGAATTGGCATAATACATTTACCTGACTAATAAATTGTAATGTTTGACCATATTTTGCTCACTCTGTAATTATTAATTCAAGTAGATTACGCTGTATCCTTGTTTCCGCACGTCTTGCGTCAGGTCAGTAGACGGACTAAAATCCAATTGAGATGGAGCATTGGCACACTAATTGTGTTTTAGCGATCCGGCTGACTCTTGATATTGATTCATGTGTACTTAGGTGGAAAGGGCGATAACTTCCGTCTAGGTCAACAAGGTGTTGCACGACTAACCTAGATTGGGTACCCGACCTTTGTTTGAAGGTAATATTATTCTAAATTAAGTTCATATGGGAAACCATGGGCTTGGTGAAAACCAAAGTTACTATAGAGTCCAGTAGTCGGGTACATTTATATTAATGCCCTAACCTCTAATTAGAAATGATGATTGTCTTAACTCAAAGGTGTACATCTAAGCGGGACTAACTAAAGTATTTTAGAACGAGCGCGCTGGTAGCGGCCATCTAAAGTATTAGTCAATTTACCTCTGTTTAATATTCAAGACTGACCGGAGTGTGACCGTGAGGGACGCCTTCGGCCGAGGCGA